TAAAAATCATCAAATATTAGATTTATATTTCAACCCGAACAGTTCTTTATGAAGACACTGTGTTTAGTGAATCCAAACAGTAGTAACTATTTTCACCATAAAAAAGGTTCGGACAAATCCAATGGTTTGGGCATGTTTCGTTCGACACTGGTTCTCGAAAGGCTGATCCAAAAAAAAAAAATAAAAAAGAGGGAGATAGGTGTTCGGGCGACAAGCGTTTAAGCCTCTCGGTGCACAGCGAGTGTAAGTAAAAAGCGTAACGCGTCGGGGCGTACCCTTTCGAACGGAATATCGGATTTTCGGATTTAAAAGTGTAAACGGATTAGTCGGTTGTGAATGGCGCATCTTTGAAGGATTAATAGGGTCGAAGTTAGACGGAGAGACCGTGCACGTAGCCGGGCGCTACGGTTGATCGTGTATCGCATGTGAAACGGGTAATTGAATTATTTCATCAGTATTATTGGCAGTGAGGCGGAAACAAATGGAGTAATAACGTCGGTAACACGATTCATTCGACGCGAGCTTTTGATAAAATAACGTTTGTTACCGATACGTTGCACTGCTCGCCGTCTATGACTTTCATTGGTACACACCTGCCCATGGATTTCGTTGCTCTGTTAACCAGCCGGCAAGAGGTCCCGAATTATCTCTAATCTTGTACCGATACGTAAAATCACGATTAACACGCGTAGAAATTGGTCCGATCTATTCAATGCTAGGTTTCCATGAATATTCATTGATCAGTTCCTATTATTCTGAATGAAATCGTAATTTGCTGAGAGGACCGGATATCGTTGAAGGTTTGTAACTGTCAGCTGTTTCCTGCCCAAGCGATAGTTCTTTAATCCTTGGATGACGGATCATTTTCAATTTAATTTTGTACTTTGCATTATTTTCATTTTCGAAATCATAGACTGTTCTTTTGAAATTATTCTTCCAATATACGAAATTCTTTCGTTTAAAAGTTATACGTTTTATCTTAAATCCAGGCTCCGCTGTTCAAAGGTTAATTAAATACTTAAAATTCTTCAATTTTCTTGCGAATCTAAGCATCATTCAAATGAATTTTTATTCATCGCTGTATTAGTTGTTACTGGTATTATTATTCATTATTCATGCTATTTTTAGTATTCGTGGTTCTATGTATTCGTTACTTACAGTCATCCGTATCCGTGGACAAATCTCTGTGAATTTATTTTTGTGGTGAAACTTCTTCACACCTTATCTAAATAACGCTGCAAATATTTGGAATTATTCAAATAAAGTTTGATTTAAATACAACATTTATTCACGATACCAGATCAATATTTTACTCGTACGTGTATAAAAAAATATTCATGATGCATAAATAATGCTTTATTCGAATTAACAATGATTCGTTAACCACAAACTTCTTTTTCATAATAAAATTAAAAGATTCTAAATTTCAGGGTTTCTTATTTAACATTATGTGTTTGAAAATAAAAGTGGATCGAAGGGGATGCATGATGGCACGAAATGAAACGATTCTGTGGTCATATCATTATTATTATCATAAATATTCTTTCGTATCGTGACAAGCTGAGGAACATAATGAGCATCGATACCAAAAAATTGGCAAAAATTTGACTAGCCTCTTCTCTGTCTCCTTGACACAACGAAAAAATCATTAAAACTATGCTGCAGACACGCGAAACACCTCTGACACTTTACACTCTCGCTTACATTTATTTCTTAAATCGTCGTGTATACCGATCGGTTCGAAAATATTCTATCGCTCTCGTGCGTTCACCTTCACATATTAATTTCTTTTTTTTTTTTTTTGGCTAATCTCGAAATTGAAACGCGTCCACCTAACGAACGGTCGCTCGCTTTAGCTACATACGTAGAAACGATGAGGTTGTTTTTTCAAAAATACTTATTACAATTAGAAAATCATGTAGAGTATTATTCAGTCGTTGCGATTCTTAATCGATTAATCCATAAACTAATAGCTAGCACACATCGCTCGTTAATATATAATATACATATACATATATATATATATATATACGATTTCAATCTTTTTTCTTTTTAAATTCTTTCAATCGTCGCGTCTCGTTCAAACAACGACCCAATCAATCGAACCAGAATGAATTTCCTCAAAACGTTTCGAAGTGAAGGAAAACTTAATACCCGTTCGTCGATGTTCCAGGCCGTACGCAACCAGGAAACGCAACATTCCGGCCGGAAGTCGAGGGTAGAGAACGGTAAGCTCGATACACGTGGTATATTCACTGTAAACAGAACGTGACTGCAAATCGCTTTAATCGTTCAGTCGCGTTCGAAGTCGTGTGAAACGCGGCTGATAAATGTATCGAAAGAGGGGAACGCATTAAATTGAACAGCAAACAGGTATTAATTTAATGAAGCGAACGCTTAATGAGCCCCGACATGAACGTGAATCGTAACCCGTGAACGAAATTTCATTTCGTTACAGAATGATCGTTTCTCGTTGACTCTCAAATGATCGAGCTTGTCTCTTTTTTTCAGAACTTTATTTTCTTTCCATTTTCCTCCTTTCTTCGTTAAAATTTTTTTTTTTTTTGTGGCGAGGAGTATTCTTAATATACGAGAAATAAAAGATGATGTTTTGACATCGTTCCTCGTTATAATACATACAGTATCCTCATCCGTTTCCTCTTCCTCCTCAGAACGCGAGATCCTTGTTGGAAACACGAGAACAGTGGCAACCGCAAAGCGACTACTCGTCGAATATCCGATTCATCAGGTACATCTCCTCGCACACTGTTTCATGTACTTTCAGGCGAACCGAGTGATGTCAGGCTAATCGGGGTACGGATCAAGAGACAGGATGGAGAAATAGGGATTGGGAGCGACGAAGATAGATTATACATATACAGGGCCTTTCAAGAATGATGCACGTTGTTGAAATTGCAATTGTAAATTCCAAATCGAAAGAAATCGAGAAATTCTTCGCCCCTTTACAATTTGAAACTCCTATTAATTCTGGTGTGATTAAATGATTTCAGTATCTTTGGCCATAGCATAATATTTTACCTTCACAAAATAATTTTAATACCGCAATAAATAATCCACTTTAGATTTAAAAAAGTCGAATGACAGGAAATCAAATTTTGGAACTTGATTTTCAAAATTCTAAAGAATCAATGGATAGTCTGCACCAATTTTGAACCAGCCTGTATAATATATCCACGCTAGGTCAGTTGTTTCGAGTTTATAAAAAAGTACGAAAACGAAAGGATCCATCGCTCTTTCTTCGAAACGATACGACGTAAAACGTACTATACGGTTCTATCTACACACTGCAAACACATGTATTCTCGTCGAAAGGAAGCGACATATACGGTCTAATAATAAAATATACCCCGAAACATTCCTCTCTTATTCTCTTTGGTTTCGTCGTTCTTACATCGACATTGGCGGACCACGAGTACCTTTCGTTGATCGTAAAGAGACACGAATCTTATCACCCGACATCCTTTACCATTCACGCTGATCCCGATCGAATTCAGCGTTCGTTTCCAGACATTTCTTCTCCGTGGTTCATCTCGCACCGTGGTCCGAAAAATGGCGCGAAACGTGCGTCGTCTGTCGCCCGAGGATGATCAGATCACACAAAGCGGCCCGGACTTTCTTACAAGCACGTCGATTTATATAAAACAGCTCCAAAGCGCGCGCGTACTTAATTGCGTTACGGTTAACGAATGGCGATCAGAAGAAACGCGAACAGTCCGAGCACCAGCCTCGAAGACGGTAGCCTTGGTTCCGTCCTGGACGAGCCGAGAACTGGAAGCAGAGAATACACAGTGTTCTGCATCGAAAGTTTCATATTTGGTATCGTTAACACCTTTTCTTTAATCAGAGGATCGATGTTGATTGGTGGCTAAATCTACCCAATATATATCCGCGAATAGCGGTTCGTTTAAACAAAACGATTTTCGATGTACCAATATAAATATTATTCCTCCGCACTGTCAAACTAGGCAATGGATCTGGTATCGTACCGATGAAAAATAAATAAAAACATGGAAACAATATTTGTTTCATTTCTTTGCTTACGAACAGGATTATTTTCCTTATTTACAAATTTTTCGAGCAGAAATAAACAGACATAAATAAAAATAAAATTCCCGTCGAACGTTGGTATCGGAGATATCGGAGTAGGATATTACTTGAATGTATGCAACGAGGATACTCAATAATTCTGATGAACGCAAATTATCGTATAAACGACGCGAAATCGTTTGGAAAATGTACGAGGTAATTAGCAACCGTAAGCAAAATGAAAATAAACCGCATCGGTTTGGTAGAAAGGGGAGTGCAATTTGAAATCTTTCGGATAGCAGATAAGAGACGGAAATACGTCGATGGTTCGAACCAAACGATATTCGTCGTTCCACGAATTTTCAGGGAGGGAAGAACCATTCGGATTCTAGCGTGGATAAAATTGTAAATCGATGCTTTTCGTTGAACAGCCTTCTCTGGCTGCTTTGGTCGGGGAATAAAGCGATGGAAGCCGGAAAATTCGAGCGCATCGCTTCGGCACCGTTTACGAGAATCTCCTCCTTGCGTGGACGCGCGAAACTTTTGGAATTAATTCGCGCCATTCACCCCGCATACACCCCCGCCACGCCGCTAATATATCCACCGTAGTCAGCGAATATATGGCCGGATGAGAATTGAAAGTAATAAAACCCAGTTTCCTTCGAACATAATAATGCAAAAAATTCGAATCGACGGAGAGAACGCTTCTGCTTTAACAGCCTCGTTTCGGATCTACGAAAGCGGGCTAAAGTTTTGGGCCGTTAGATTATTTTGTTACATTTATGTTGGGCTGAATTTAGTTTAAATTAGAATGACTTTCTAATTAAAATTTATTTTAATTTGACAAGATACTCATTTTTATTCATTAAATCAATTTAATTATTACTATATTAAATGACTTAGTCATTTTGGTAACGAAAATGGTCGAATAATTGCAAGAACTAAGATTTCCATACATTTTTTATATCTTTCCCGTACATTAATAATACAAATTTTAATTTGCTTAGAAAACTGTAATTTCAAATGTTACAAAGACAATACTATATTTTAATTCATATAGCCTGGATTTTACAAATCATGAAAATTAATATTGTATCCTATATCAATATAGATATTGTCAAGGAAGTCTTTGATGACCGTCAACCATATAGAATGGACCCCCTTGAAATGTCATTTTTATTCGCCACTGTAGCTCATCAAATTTCCTCCCCATCATTCGGCCATCGAGAGGGTTAATGAATTTATCTAACAACCTGTACGAAAAATCTTCATTTTTTCCCCTCCCTTTCGCATCAGCCCGATGAATAATGATTTTCAAGCTATCGACAGGATCACTTTGCCACGCCTGACCCACTAATTAACCCTCGACCGTACCGTGACTCGATTTACACTGACAGTCTCGATCCTGTCACAGGCTCGATCAAATATTATTCAATGCTTTTCGAGCGAATTAACTAACCCGTTGCCGGCGTTTCGGTCACGGTTCCAGGCCTCGAATAACATTTGAACGAACTGCAAGCGAACCGTGACCGTAACTCGACCAATCTCTCTTTCGTTCATCTGCACGTTGAACGCATCCTAATTATAACACGCTGCGTTAATCGTTCGGATCCCCGGGTTTTACAATGCTCATTTTCGTTTCCGGTTAATTTAACAAGTTTCAAAGAGCCCAACCGAGAGGAGACACGCAAACAACGCGGTAAATAAAATAACGACACGTTCGCGGTGATTCGTGCGGCCCCCGTTTAATTATCACTACCCAACCTTTTCTCTCTTGTTATTATTATATATTATAGTTTGTATACTATATTAAACCAGCTATTTATCGTCCCGATTACACGCCACGACAACCGCCATGTTAATTCGTCCGCAAATCTGACCCTGTACATTCGCGTACACTTTGAACCGATGCGACGGAACAATTGTTCCCGGTCTAACGAGCAAATATTTCATTTATCAGATAAGTTACTTTGGTAACGACCGGTCGAGGAAACGAAACGACCAGATGGTTGCAAGCTGGAACGATGAAGAGACGATCACGAATGAAAATCAAGGGAGAGAGAGAAGTTCTATAACTAGGCAAACAGTTAACTCAAATAACGAAACGAAGTTTTTTGCATGCCACGATAGACCGATTCGATCGTGACTCTCGTCCCTCCTTTTTATTCCTTCTACGATGATACGATTTCGATTGAATTGTTCCCATCGTGTTATTGTACAGGATATACCGTAATACGTGTGGTAGATTCACCACAGATAAATAATAAAAAGTGTTCGTATAAACGTTTGTCCTATCTGAGCTTGTCTCTGGATTATAAAACGTTTTTCTCTTGCAGTAATTGCTTTGATAAACTAAGCTCTTTACTCGGTGCTTGATATTTCAAACATACTAGTCTGACTTTACGACCGCACTATATTTCTTCCTCCAACTACATACCAAAAAATGCATTGTAATTCAGAAACGAGATCAGATAGAACAAAAGTTTATATGAACTTTTTTATTATTTATATGTATTAAATCCTCCACTGAAGTTACGTTCGCGTATTACGTGAAGGATCCTGATATACCATGAGGTTTTCTTCCTCCTTGCACTAATAATTTTGTCAAACTAAGCTCTTCAATCAGTGCTTCATATTTTAAGTATGCACCGAACACACTAGTCTGATCGATTTTACGACCACGCTATATCTATTCCTTCAACTATACACCAGAAAATGCACTGTAACTCGGAAACGAGATGAGATAGAACAAAAGTTTATACGAACTTTTTTTATCATTTATGTATACTGAATCTACCATTGAAGTTATATTCACGTATTATATGAAACTGATACACCACGAGGTTTGTTCCTTCTTTATAGCTTAGCACACAACGATACCATCGATCATCGCGTCGTTTTGAAATCGAAATTCCTTGGTCAGATAAGCGTGGCTCACTTGACGTCAAATAATCCGAAGCCGCAGCAAATAATCGTGGAATGCGTCGGGAATTATCCTTGCCGCAGGCTCGGATTACCTGGCGTGAAACGAATTATTTGATGGCCTGCCGAGCTATTTGACGTTAACCAGGATAATTCGGCTGGTCAGATTATCCGAACCGCGGGCCAGACAAACAGTCGGATATTCAGGTGACCGCAGCCTCGTTTAGAAGGAGGAATAGAAAAAAAAGAGGAAGAAATTAGGTAACTTCGTTTGGTTGATTTCATTGGTCGAGCGATTAGTTGGCCCGTTAACGAGGAGACATTCGTTTTCGTCCAACTTTTCAGCATTCATTGATCGAATAATATTCTTTTACAGCATTTTACATCCGATTTCAAAAATGCACGGATGTTATGAAAATATGATTGAAAGGATTCGAGAGATTCCAGTTTATACATTTTTATCTCGACTTCTCTTTGAGTTACAGCTACCACGATAATGGCAATGTTTTACAAAAGTTAATTAGCCAATTACCAATTTCCACCCATAATTCAGTACCTATTGAAAAGACATTTATTCCTAATTAGCTCTGAATACAAAGGTAGCTCATCAATCTGAGACATAATTAATTTTAATAACCCAAGAATACCTACCAGAGTAGCACACTTATTCAGACAGCTATTTGAAAATTTACTAACAATTGCAATGATTCTCTTCGCCTGTTTAATAATTCCCTAAATATTATTCATCAGTGCATAATTCTTGATTTATTAAAACTTCGTTCTCGTATTTGATTTCATTTGTAATTAATTTCACTATATCAAAAGGAGTATTATTATGAAGTTGTAAAATAATATAAATTAATACACCTCTATTGTAATTCTACAAACAAATATACTATTGTTAATTTTATATGAAAGGGTTAGACAGGGTGAATTTGAAGTTTACCTGTGCTGTACGTTATGATTTTAAATGTTCAGAGATACGTTTTATTTATAAAGTCGCTTTTAACCTTCGCAGAAATGGCACGTATCGTTGCCTCGTGTTCCATGACCCTTGAACTTAAAAAATGGAACACTGTGAGGTGAATTAATTAAAAACAAGAAGTACACAAGAACGAGATGCTTAAACAGGACAATCGATACTCCGATGTTTAACGAAGGTATACAAATCTTATATTCAGTGTATGTAAAAATAAATGAATTTTACCCAGGCTTTCGCTCCAGATAAACAAGAATAATTTACACGATTACCTTTTACTCATCTAAATAGGCTGTATTATCTTCGACGACTTTCTTCTATCGTACAACGAGGTCATTGGGATCTTTCGTGCAAAATTGTGTCGACTTAGCCTTAAAATACAGTACAGCTTCGAGAGTCCTTCGAATATCGATGTTTCTGAAGAGATGATAATTTATTGGACAGAAAGGTGGCTACTAAGGCATAGTCTCTCGATTTAACTTTCAATCCTTCTATTAGGTAATTTCTAACAAAACGACTATTTTGCTAATTGTTCCATTAAATTACCTTGGGTTTATTTCCAGGCGAAGCTAATTTTCCTAACTATAAATTCCTTTGTTAAAATCTATGATTTTATTATAATAAACTTTGTCGAATATAATAAATCTCATTTTGATGAGTAAAGATGTTATTTAGGGTTGAGTTTAGTTTAAATATGAAATTAAAAATACTTAGAATTCTTTACTGAAGTTTGGAGAAAACCGGAGATAGCGCCAAAATAGCAGACAATTACCTAAACATAATTTAATTATAAAATAATTTCATCTTCCTTTCACCAATCAAATTTTCCATAGAACCTACAATTAAAAATATATGATAGCAAACTTTCGTTACCTTTAACTCCGACATGACCGTCAGGTTTCTTTTGGCCAGTTTGAAAGTTCGGTGGTGGTTGGAGATAGTTGATGCCGACGATTGTGGCGGCTGGCTCGTAATGTATCACCCTGGGCCTGTCCTCTTCGGCGCTGACCTCGGTACTCTTCCAGTAAATGTCGTATATCGAGGCGCTGCAGCGTATCTTCATTTTGCCGGTCCTAGTGGCGAAGTGTTCGTGCGTAACGAGAAACTGAAGTCCGATCTGGGAGATCTGCCACTCCGATTCGTTCGTGTCGAGGGGGCTGTACGTGCGGACGTGCGGCTTCAGCGGCTGTGGCAACGGAACGTGGATGGTGGTGGTTGTCGTACGGGTTTATGCTCGAGGAATCCTGGCGAACCAGCATTAAAATCGGCCAACTCCCGCTGGAGTAGACGACTTAATTTCGATAATTAATTCTCGCCGAGTTTAAAGCCGGCCGCCCAGTGCCGTTTTACACGACAAATTTCCACGATTAGTCGAACGATCCGAGCGCGGAGTTCACTAATCGCCGCGAGCGTATCCGCGTAATTCGGCTCGTTCAATGTTTCAAAGATCATCGTCCTAATCCTTTGCGGTCTGTTTTTCACCGATCCAACGAAACTTACCGGGCTCGGTTCGATTTTAGACAGAGAAATAGCTTTAAAATCTACTATCCGTCTTTGCAGAGTTACTATATCACGATGTAATTGCTCTCGATTTGTTCTCTTTTTATTACTAGTAGAATTTCATTTTCATTCGAAATAACACAATGGCATTTATAATATTAAGGCTACAAATTAATTGGATTGATAATTACTATTTTAAATTTGAATATTTTCCCGAGCTTCTGTACATTTGAAAAGTGGTACGAAAATATAATGAGAATAATAATTACTTCAATAATTGGAATTACCATCATTTTTAAAAAGTATATCTTCAGTTAAAAAAATGAAAAGCCGCAGAATTCATTTCTATATATTCAATATTTTTGATTTTTCACAAAAAAACTGATTGTAGAGACTCTCAGAAAATGATTGATAAAAAACTTGTATAAAAAGCAAAAAGAATTTTTAAAATTAAGTTTCAAGCGTGTTAATTAACCAGTAACAATAATCAATCAATCGGGACTGATTCTGATTATCGAATCCACGATTGCTGTCGATTTTATTCATCGCGAAACAAGCTTTTGAAATTGAATAAAAACTTGAACGAATCTCGTTAATTTAGCCGATAAAATGTTTCAATTGCCAAAGCTTCGATCTGATTGATAAAAGTAAATTAAAAACGGATGTAAAGCAGCCTAAATGCTCGAGAGCACAAAGTGCTTATCGACGATACGTTATTCGAAATATTCAAAGCAATGACTACGAGTTATTATTTTAAGCAGATTTCAATGAAAACGATCTGGACACCCGTTTCAAACACAAAGGATAAAGGGACAATATTGTACAAAACTTGGACTAAAAGCCAACGGTAACATAAATACACGTACCGGTAACGTGTGCCAGACAGAGTGTTTCAGTTGCAAAAGATAACAAAATTTATAGCAAATGTTTGTCCAAACTTCGATGCTGTTCGCGGACACGGCAAGACCGCAAAGGATTAACGATCGGGGCTGTTACGTTGAAATCCCTTCATTTTGTACCGTGAAGAAAATTGATCTATCTTACAGTAACAACATCCTGTAACACGTTTCACAGATACCCAAGGAAGTTTGCTGTTTCCTTTTATTAATTATCTAATTTCAAGTACGAGGCTACTTACTCTGGAAGGAGTTAAACATAGAGCCTCGAAGCAAACCGAAAGATAAACAGTTTCTTCCTTTTCGCCCTTTTGCGCTCGTAAAACTGGCGAAAGAATCGATTCTCGAGTATGTACCCGATTTTTGAATAACAATAACTATTTCATCGATAAAGTTGAGTTTCGATGGTTCCTCTCGAACTTTTCTCGCCTGATTTACATTCTATTTTTGTTCCTTTTTCTTTTGTTCTTTTTTACGACATGATTTTTGAAATGCATATAGTTCATTGTGTAGATAGACGAGGGAGAAAAACTCGTTCATAAGGTAGCGTCGCGTAACTTTTCGCTACGAAATCGAATCGGCATGGTTCAGTTGCAGCCGGAACATGGCTATTCATCGCGGAGAACAGGTGTCCAAAAATCGACCCCGTGAAATATTTTACCGTGAAACAATGCCGCCACTTCGATCTATATCACGAAAATGTAATTTTCAATCGCTACTGGGATTCTCTGCAGCAGAATGTTCCATCGGTTTTTCGGAAAACTTTTGTAGCTGTATTTTATGACTGAAAATAAGTCCACGGGAAAATTAAATAAATGTTTAATCAGTGCAGTGATTGACGTTGCACGTCGTTATAAATTTAAAACAATTGAACAATTCAAGGAAATGGAACATTGATGGAAATTTTTAAATAATAGATAGAGTAATTATTTAAGATACGGTTGAATCAATTTTCAATTCTAATTTTTCACTTGTTTCCTTGAGTAAATTATGTATATTTGCGATTAAATCGAGCTTCTTCAGAAAAATGGCGATGTCTTGACCGCCCCTCCCACCGGTTTTCCGGATTCCCGACCTCTCCCGTAAGTTCCCTCGGGTTCTCGGCTTCTGAAGTTTCGGGGTGCTTTACATCGTTATTGTTAAATAACTCTATACTTTTTATTAGCAGTGTACATTTTTTTCAGAAATATTGTTAACCCCGCTTGTAATAATTAAAGCATCGATAAGAGTTTATTGATATTTGAACAATAATGAAAATGTTAAACCAACGTAAAAAGGGCAACGTCAATTGTTTCATTTGTTTTAAGCTATTCAAATTAACGATAGCCTTTCTTGAATATAGTTTCGTGTTTTGAGAATGGGCCAGTCGTTTGATCAGCTGAATAAATGTGGCCGTTTTTCGTTGGAGTAAAAAATAAAATGGAAAAAGTTGGAGTTTCGAGAGAATGTGAAGGTAGAATGTATAGGCAGCTGGATAAATTTTACCGGAAGAAATTATGGGGTTGAAGAATGACAGGTTAATTGGATTGTTCAATGAAGCTTGGATCAGGTATCTGGTTTTTTATAAAAAAATTACCCTTCTAATTCAACTGTTCTGCTTGCTATCGAGGTCTTTTTCATATCAAATAACTGGTTTTATTTCGAGTGTACTTACATTAACTATTATTTTAATTGTTATAAATTAATAATTATGAATTTGCAATTTTGACCCAATATTCATCGCTATGCTGAATAATTGTTCTATTATCCCAGATATCGATGAAAAACGAAATCCTTGATAAGCAAAAATGTTCTCCGATTCGATATCGAGGGTGGAAGAGAAAATGAAACCATAATGAATTGAGTTCAATCAAATTCTAGTCGGCCAACTTGAACGCGAACAAACAAAAACGCGTTAACCTATTTTCTGCCATAATTCAAGCCCGTTTCCTCTACACCTAACCCGGTGCACTTCAATCTCTTCGTTCAATTCCGTTATATATCGAGGATAAAAATAAAGAAAAGGAAGGCAGTATTGCATGCAATAAAGCAAACATAGGTACATATACCCCAGGTATACTACGACTGTTAATTCAATCTCCTAAATTCGATCCGACTTGGAACAACATAAACAAAACTGGACCGGACAAATCGAATATCCGGAAGCCGGTAGCCGAGGATCGTGTGCAAGAAAACGCGTTAAGCCGTCCGACTCTATATAATTCACCCTGCTTTTCCTACCCATCTCGAGCTACCGGTTCTATATTCAATCTCTTAACTCGATTTCATTCGACACCGAGGTAAAACGAAGCGGAAAGGCAGTGTTCGCGGGTTTCGCATAATGAATCCACCTCTACCCTCTTCAACATCGCAACAAGGCGTACCTGAAAACGAGCAACAACCACGATTCTCGAAAGCTCGATCCTCGAAATCTCAAACACGAATCCCTAATTGTTCGGAGCTGTGTAGTAGATGCTTTACGCCTCCACCATTGCCACCCCATTTCTATTCCTTCGAGGAACGATAGGGTGTTCCGAGCGCAAAAAGGTTTGTTAACTGATTACGTGTTACAACTTCGGATGGGATCAAGCTCAATGTGCATTCGTAAATCTGAAATGTTTCGTTATGACCAGTCATGAAATATTAATATAAATAACTAAAAGAATAAAAAGAGGAAGCTAAGTAGTGTACAGTACTTTCTTTCTAAATTAATATCAATATTAATATTTTTAAAATTAAAACTTTATGAATTATCATTTTTTATCTTCCTCTACATTAAAGGAATCTTCTTTCACACACCTCGATTTCCTCAAAGGAAATCTATTCTTTCTCAGTACTGTACATGAAATGTATTTGGTATACAGTCGTGATCAAATCAGACTTTTCCAGGAAAAATGGTGATATCCCGCATTCTCACCCTATCCTGTCGACAGACCTCGGAAAAATGACGATATAGGGGAGAGAACCCGTGTATATAGGTCTGTGGCTTATCATCACTTACACCACATAAACATTTATCTGGGAAAGTTTAAATATTTACTTTATTATTCGTACTTCTCAGTTATATACTAAATTGTATAAAGTTATATCATCTTTCCCTCTAAATTATTTTTTGACAATTCTTCCTTTCCCTATATCGTCATTTTTCCCAGGGAAGCCTACTTTGCTCGATGTTAATTTACTTTTTTCTGCAATTATTCTATTAGAAATTAAAAAACAAATAGTTAACCGTATAATCTGTCTTAAATTCTTCTGTACAGAACCTATGGAAGCCTGATTTAATCACGAATGTACACTCGATCCGAACCGTGTTTACAGGAAACGGTCAACATGCATCACCACGATATATCCCGGGTGTAATAAGCAAAATCATACTTGTCGATCGTTGATGTACCAGGTGAGATTGGCCGCGGGTTTGCTCCGTCCGCATGTGCAGTTCAAACGTAACACATCGTTGATCCGGTATTTGCTCCTTAACCCGTGTATCGACGGATCTTGAGAGGGTAATTCTGCGGAACAAGAGACGTCAGGTACACACACGAGCGGAAATATGCGAAGCATGTTCGAAACGCCGCCTTTGACGTTCGAACGATCTGTGCGCCATTCTACATGGTACGAGATATATACACGTGTTTGTTCGCGATATTCGGGACCGGAGGCGGGGATTGGAAGTTTTCAAGATTCCCGGATGCACAGGCGTATCCCGATACTCGCTCGCTGATGAAAAATTCTTCTTTTATGCCTGGCAATTCGCGCTCGCCCACCCCATCGCGTTTCGATACTGGAATAATGCATTCGTAAGAGAGACGCCGATCCCTCTGTCAGCCTCTCTGAAAAATAGTTCCGGCGAGGCGTTTTCCAGCCAGGCGTTTGATGTTCCAGTGTACCGCGTCAACTACGGGATACATTTTACTTGACACTGCGCTTTCTTTGACGTAACGACGTAATTACATAGATTTTAAAAGGATACAGGATAAGAAAAAACTGCGAGTTAACGGGGTAGTTCTTTCGAGGAAGATAAGAGAATTGGTTAAATAACAGATTCCTCAGCTCGTTTCCTTTATTCTTCCTTCTATTCTGTTGCTTTTGAAACGCGCCAGAGACTTTCGAGTCATTGTTTCTTTCACGTATGCTCGAGTTTCGAGAGACCATGCATCCCGGAAAAATGTTAGTTAATACTATGGCTCTTACGTGGAAGTAAGGGAGACGTCTAAGCAAAGAATTTGTGTATGTTTCGGAGGGATTCTAGGAAAATTTGAGTTGATGCGGTTCTAGGATGAAGATAAGAAAATCCTCTAAGATTTAGAGTTTAAGTAGTAGATTCTTGAGTGTTTCCTCCCCCTTGTTTTCTTCGTAACACTTTGAAACTTAGAGAGACTTTAAAGTAGTTATTTTCCCTAACACTTGCTCGTATTTTAGAAGGTTATGCATTTCAGATAAATTTTAATTGATATTATCGTTCTTTCGGGGCAATAAAAGTGTAAAAAAAATTGAGTTAATTCTGTGATAAATATTACGTTTTTCTGTCCTTCAACAGCACTGTTTTTGCTAAACGAAAAACGAGCGTTTTTCGGTCGCAGAAAATTTCATATTTCTAAATTCTCCCCTGTAATTATATGGAGACAATGATAAAGCATGAAAAAAAGGAAAAAAGAAACGAAGAGATTTTTTATCATACCAGTAAACTCATGTTCTTTCGATGTTTTATCGGCGATGGTGTTCGAAATATAAATATTAAAAGTGTTTCTGTACGAGAATTCTTTCGCGAAAGTTTCATATTGCCTCCCTTGGGGATTTTTCCCGTACGAGTTCCGGGAAACGAAGGACCGAGGAAAGTTCCGTTCCCGCGGACCAACAAATTCTGATTCTTTCGAATGTATTCGCGCGTGAAACGCGATACGACCGGCGGAATTAGAAACAAACTCTTTATACTTAACACCTTGCGGCTCGCATTTGCAAATATTACCATTGCTTCGATCATTTTTCATGGTTCATGCAATTTTAAAAATCGCACCCGTTTTTGAACAGAATTTTAGGAAACAACAGATGTGAGATTTAAAAGATACTATACTTGTATATTTTTGCAAGTGCATCGATGCGTGTACATTTAACAACTGCATTATTTTGTAAAGTGAAATTGCATTTCCTTCCTTCTTTGTAGATTCATTTTTTGGAACATTTTAAATTTTAAAAAAATTGTAAAAATCAACAATTCATGAAATATTTTAAATTGTGAATTGAGATATTTCGTGTGAAAATGTTGGGATTAGTATAAAATAATTTTTTGAATTTTAATTTTGAGAGCTGCTTTCACATTTTCTATATGCTAATAAAAAGGAACACTCGTCAAAGATTTTTTTTAATTCTCCATCATAGCAAATTTGCATCAGAAGCAGAGTGTCAATCAATGCTAGCTAATTGAATTTCAAATAAACCACATTTCCTGACCCTCTAAATTCTAAATAGATGAATATAGAAATCTTAAACACATTATCTTCTCTATAATTTATTTATTTTTATTATATTTTTAAATAAAACACACTTCCTATCTCTCTGAATAAATAAATCTGAAGGTCTATAAATACGCTAAATATTTACGTGGAAAGAGATTCATTGATTTTCTAGCAAAATGGAATTTAGATACCGTGCAATACAGGCCATCGATCGTAAATTTGAGACCGTCCCTTAATGAATCGAAAACAGATTACTTTATGAAAATTCAATAATTTCTGCACAAAGCTTCTCGTAAAGCTCGAATGTTCTGCTCCTTATTAAACGGCCGGAATGTTGCAGTTCATTAGTCCTGTTTTCGTTTAAATAATTACTTTTCGACCGCATAATAGTCTGCACCGTTTCACCCATTCCCTCTGTTAATATTTCAATTAGACTTCCTAAACTCGTTACATTACCTCAATCCGAAATTCTTCATTCTCGAATCGACGGGAAAGATGATTTTATCGATAAATCCTGTTCCCTTGGTTTCGTTGGTTAATCGATAGAAAAGTTACTAACGAGGAATTTAACGATGCCGTAAAATGGTCATTAAAGCATAATTCCAGAGAAACAAATGGCAATTACGTACAACTTGATGCAATAAACTAGCAATTTCAATAAAATTTTCATCTCTATAGAGTTTGAAAATACGTACAATAATCGAACAGTTGTTTTCTTTCATAATTTACAATCAATGTTATTTTTAATTAAAATCTTTTGAAAAATTATTTTCATAACTGTGAATTCAAATTTGATCGTTTGTCACTCGGTTTAATTATACATCCGCGGACTTCGTCGTTAGTTTTCGAAAGTGTTGGTACGCGTTTAAAAATTTGTCAGTCCGCGGAAAAAATTTATTCGCGGCCGCGCGACGCTTTATTGCAAGCCCCTCGTTTCTCCGTTTTTTATTGTTTAATCTATGCGAAAAATACAGACGAGGAATTTAACGGCCCCATAAAGTGCTCATTAAAGTATTATTCTACTCGAACAAACGGTAATTATCCGCGAATGGATTCTGTAAAATAGTTATTCCCTTCGTCTTTTTGCTTACTCCGATTATTCAGAACGTAACAATAAGAGAGAGAGAAAGAGAGAAACCCTATACAAATTAACAATCCATACCGTACTTACACTGCATTAAAAACATATTATTCTAGAATGCCCTCTACGTTTATGCTTTATATTAAACGTTTTGTCTGTTGATATTTTAATCGCGACCTTTAGGAAAGTTGCAACTGAAGTTTCCTCGCCCAACAAAAGGGACGATTTCAAATTCTAATGATCGTTATACCTCCTCGATTTCGTCGCTTCAACGTTCCTCGACTTATTCTACATAAACAAGCTGCAATTACGTAAATAAGATACGATAAAATGGTAATTTAGACACCGTTTTCGATCACTTTAAAATTGTTTTTTTTTAAAGATTGTGTAGTTGTTTCAGGGGTGGGCAGGTACTTGAAAATTCAAGTCAGTGTCAAAAATTTTTTTGAATTCAAGTGAAATTTCGAGAACCAAATATCAATTAGGGATTCGAATTCGATTCGAGTCCTAAAACTTAAATACATCCAATTATACACGATAATATATGAAAACACTTTGAACCTGAAAAATTTGAGATAAGTGCTTCGAATGCAATTACAGGTACCCGAACTTTTGAAGTCCCGTCCGAGTCGATCCGACCCGACCCGACCCGACCCGACCTGAAACTCGAGTACTCGCATACCCCTAAGTTGGTCTCATTTATTATTTATAAAACAGCTGTTAATCTAACATCATAATTGATCGCACGGTGTAAACTAAATTATCCATAATTCATTCGAATCTATAATCTTGTCATCCAATGTTTTCCTCAAATAAATGGTAATCGAATAAATATAGATACGATAGAATGATAATTAAACTGGCCTTGTGATACTCTGTGTTTAACATGCACATAAACAGATGGCTTCAAATTTGACATATTACACGGTATTCAGTGAAAATCCAATTCTCGTTGTTCAACGTTATTCAATTCACACAAATACGTAGCAATTACATGAAAGTGGACACTCCGGTCTAATTTTAGACTCCATTTCTCACTAGATTATTTATAGGATACACTAAGTACACTATGCAACACCTTTAATATTTAATCACAGTAGAATGACAAACTAACAAGGTTTCAATCTTCTAAATTTGATTTTGAAATTAATCAATTTATTTGAAACACACTATATTTCTTGTGTCTGATTTCAGATTTGCTATCAAATGAACTTTTAGATTTTCTATCAAATAAATTCCTAGAATTTAAATGAAATAAAATGATTAAATACCTTCATTTTGGGCAATTGTCAAAACAATTCGAAACTTTTATGATATCAGATTGTTATAAAAATCAGCAAAATCATTTAACACGAAACAAGTTAATCAGTTTCAATCCTTCATATATAGAATAGATTTTTATCGATTCATGGGATTGAAATTTAACAAATCTAAATCTTATTTATAGTTCAAAAAATAAATTTAATATTTGAATAGAACACGACTGAAATTAATTAATTTGTTCCATATTAAATGGTTTTGTTGATTTTTATAACAATCTGATAACATAAAAGTTTCGAATTGTTTTGACAGTTGTCCAAAGTGTCTAATAATTCTATTTCATTTTATTTAAAATATTATATATATATCAAATGAATTCTTACATATATGTGCCTCTGATATAAAAAATTTCGTGCCTAATGACCCGCGTAATTTATCGTTCAACGAGCAGCAAGGTATTACAAAAAGAAAAAAGGAAAGATCCACTTCTTAATCGTTCTCCACCTTACTGGTGGTGGTCGAAAAAGCAAACGAATTACCGAAATAAACTGGCGGCAGTCAGCGGGTTCGATAGAGATAAAAAGGAAGCAAAAGGCATCGAGGGGTAGCTTCAATCCCCTGTACATCTAAGACACCTAATTCCCGTTCATTCCGCCGCGTATACCCGCAGTATTATCTTCGGCTCGGTCCACAGCGATTCGCGTAAGCTCTTAAGTCCACCAAGCCGGCGGCGCGGCGGCTGGCATTAATTCGCAGTTCGAAAACGGCTGCAAGCTAACACTGTCGACCGGCTGCGTGACATTCAGCCTCGTGTACAGTCGAGAAGATTGCCTTTGAAAGCTAACAAGAGGCGATACCACTTCTCACACGTGTGTTCCAATCGCTACGCTACTATTGTTCTCGTTAAGAAACAGTGAAATGATCAATTGTTATGCATTGCTTTTCACAGCCGACAGACAATGACGTTTTAGTTTTTGTGAACCATTCGAGCTAAACGAAAAGTCATGTACATATCTATAGCTAACGCGACAGTCATGATATTAAAAGAAAAAAAAAAGAAGAAAAAAATATCGCGTCGCAGTAATAACAATTTAGTATCGTTATTTATGGAAACACGAGCCATGCACGAGTAGCAGCGTTTTCTTACCAACGACGTTCATGGTGGCATAAACGATGGCCGTGTGGAAGGAAGGCGCATCCGCCGACACCTCGCAGCTGTACACACCAGCCGCGTCCAGCTCCAGGTTCATCAGCGTCACCTGGGTCGCGTTGCTCTCGGATTTCTGCAACAGAGAAACACACGCATATAGAGCCGTCCTTCATCTTCCTCGATGAATCTACCGGGGATTTATCACCGGCACAACCACAGAGTGGCATGCATGGAGTATGAAAAAAAAAAAAAAAAAAAAAGAAAAAACTAGGGGAAGAGAGAAGAACAACGGACAACCGCAAGCATCGATCAATCGACCGGAAGACAAAGGACAGGCCGCATTGTTTCATCGCCAGGCAAACGAACGTCGAAACAAGAAGAAGCTAACGTTGGACCAACGATGAGTACCTCCTTGGTGATATTGATTGGGGCACTGGGTGTCACTCTCGGCTGCGAATACCAGCCAACCTGGCAAGCTCGCGAACTGCACCGAGCACCCTTTTTGGCGCAGTTTACGAGCGGAATTACGCGTTCTCGTAACTGGCCGCGGGTAGCACCGGTTACCGCGGAACTCTGCGACACAGAGCGATTTATTCGAGCCCGTTCCACCAGGCCGCGAGAACTTGCCCGGGCTAACACCGGTACAACAACGGGCCATGCTTTAGCGGGAGGTGTAACACGGGTTTAGAAGGATTTAGCTGGACCGATGAAAAAGTGACGCCGCTTCTTGCGACTAGCGCGTTTACGTTGCCTGTATATTAGGGCGGGTTTCCAGTGAAACGATCCCCGCGTCCGGGTTAACGGGTTCACCGAGATACGACGGCCGTATATGAGCTGTATCGTGCTGCGAGATCGAGACCCCAAGAACTTAATAAGGGGAATTGTAAGGATGATAGTAATCTGGGAGTGACGTTAGTGAATAAGGTAGACGGCTATGAAATTCTTATTTACCTCAAATATTCTTGCGAAGATGTGTAAGACTTAGGCTTTAGGTTACAGGATTTAAGACTTCCGACTTATTGTTAGCAATTTTCTGAGACTTAACAATTTTTTCTATTGTTCACTTACTTTTTGCATTATGGTTCTTTATAGACATCTACGACTCGTTCGTAGAGTCGGCGACGCATGGGACTTAGACTTTAGGCTGTAGGACTTTAGACACCCAACTTAGAAATTTGATAAACTTATGAACCTTAACTAGGGCTTTTGGGATTTAAGATTTCCAGTTTTGAAATTTTATGGAACTTGAAAATGTTTCTCATCATTTACTCACTCCCTGCACTACCCGCTTCTATACAAGATATACATGTACCAAGGATTCGTCCAGAGAGTCGGCGACGCACGGTACTTTGAAGACTTTGGACTGAAGAACCTAAGACTTCCAACTTAGAAATTCTTACCCTGGGTGCTACTCTTAAACAGAGAGTTTCTTTTTTGTTTGAAGTTCACTCTACGAGAGTTGAATTATTCCTTATCTTATCGAAACAGAATTTAACAAAATACGAAATTCTACGAGTAAGTTTTCACATTAAACACCCCATTTTGAGTGGATCACTAGTGACCTCAAAATACCTCAATAAACAGAAGCATTTATTGCTTAATCTTTTGCGGTGAATTAAACTAATAGAAACGTTTTTATTGGCTCAGCTAGTAAATGGGATATAACCAGATTAATTAATTTTGTATTCGCAACTGGTGGAAGCGTTTAATACTATCGGTTACAGTTCACTTGCTAACTAAATCAATTATGACGCTTTGTAATAATAATCTAGTTTCGATTACCACGCGAGCTGTAACAGAATCAATTAATTTTGTATTAGGAATACGTTTGATGCATTACAGTTTGTAAAACTGTACAATAATCGACAAGGAAATTAATGTGAAACAAGAATTGAACCCTATCCAGCGATATTAGCGTTCGAGAAATTCTCTTACATTGCGTTATGGGTCCCTATAGGCGTCCAATTAAGTTTGCTCGGTGTAAGCCATTTAACTATGCTCCAGCAACGAAACTTTCCTTACTATTGAATATTGTATCGTAATTTTTGAATTAGATTTCAGACCTGATTACTTGTTCCGATCGCTTGAAACGTGCTCGGCATTCGGTATTCCGAAAGAAGGAGACATGTAAAGCTTTTCATTCGTCAGTTGCAATAAAGAGGATAAATCAGCTCCGATCGCTGTCAATGAAAACTCGATACGCTTGGAAAATTTAATTTCACGTCGGTTTTGGTTTATTTCTGCGGACGTACTTGTTAAAAATTCAACTTTTCATGACATCATCTCACCGAAATAGAGTCTATTCAAATCGCTATAATTTATTAGGCAGTACATTTCCTAAATCAAATATACGATTACCGAGTGAACATCTTGTAATTGATTTTTCAGAACTCGAAATCGGAGCTTTATGCAAATATACAGTCTGACCTGGTAATATTTGCAGCTGTTATTCATAATAAAGTTATTGAAAACTAATGGCAAATCGTGGATCGTGTGAAGTATTGATGAGTATGGGTTGAGATACGATAACCAATCGCAATGTTCCCAAGCAATCGATAGATTTTGCCTGAAAGTCAGAACATGTTAATTAACCGTGTTTCGAGTTCCATTAAAAATTTCAAACTTCATTATCCTTCGGACGCGTGAAATGATATCGATCGTTAAAGTTCAAGCGCTAATAAATTTATAAACGTACACTGTTAGCTAAAAGTAATGGACCGTATGCTCAAAATTTGGTTTTGTGACAAGACTATAAAGGATTACTGAAATAATTATGCTTAAGAATTACTAGTTACTGCATCGCAATTAATAATAAAATTTTTTTTAAATTTTCTAAGTGGAAAAAGTGATATATTTTCAATATTTTTTAAATAGGAAGTTTAATCAACCCTTTCTTACCCCTTTCTTTTCCTAGAGTTGATAATAATCTCAAGTAATTAAGGATTTTATTTAATATTTGAAAAAATATAATTATGCATAAATTCTACATACTTTCATTAAAAGATTAAATAACTTCTTTCACGTTTTCATCAAGGGGTGGTTCTATACTTTTGGTCGATATTATACCTGAATACATTTTTGCTCTTTCTATCCGCAGAACGCATCAGCGTAGTTTCGCGTTTATTAAACAACAGATTATTCGCGTGGCTATTTAGAATTTCGAGTTCAACTAACTTCCCCGCTTTCGTATTTCGATTTTATGAAGAATTCTATATAATCCGTGATACTGGGTCGTTCTAACTGGTGAAACTGCAGCAAATAACTTCCTACGCGGAGAATTGAAAAACATTTGGCGTTTATCCGTCGGTTCTCGTTAGATATTTACTGATTCGCGGAATATTCGACGATGAAAATTGTACGCACGCATAATCTGAATTTTTCTCTGCGAAACGAGCAATTGCGTAATCGGAACAACGCTAAGTAATTGCTTGATAATGTATATATTTTTTTAGAACTTATTCCCAAAAGTTCAGCTGGATTTTCGAAAAAAAAAAGCAGAGCTGAATACTTTTTTGCAAAAGTCAAAAGCACGATTAAAATAACATTCGCTGCTCGTTTTATCAGTTTTATACCTGAGGAAAAAAGTATCTCCCGTAAACCGTGGAAAAGCGAGATCTAATTAGCCTGTTCCAAGCGGTTCTACTACTTCCAAAGGAAGCAGAGTCTGTCGAAAAAGAAGAAATACACTCCGTCCAGGTTAAAATTTAGGTCGATTATGAAGCTGCTTTCTCCTAACCACTATCTTACACACGGGGAAAAGAACTTCGAAGCGGAGGATATTTAACCCTTATCGCTTCAAGAATATTACAACTTGTTTGCCAACCCCTGGCGCCTATTCATTTTCCGAACTTCAACTTGCTACAAAAAGACGTCAGATAATTTTTACAAGGTGGTTGATTATTAAGAAATACATATAAATGCAAATAAGTGGTTAGAGTGATAAGAGTTAACAAATGGTAAATGTTGTGTTATTCAGGATCTAACTTTAACTCTAGAAAGGTGGAGCTTTGCAATAGCCATTCATTAGCAAGCTTAATTGATTATTAAACTGTAACAATTTTTTAGAAATAATATATTTTTAATATTTCTGATTGGTGGGCTTGAAGAGCCCAAATAATAATTCCTCAATTATACAATAAATATATATTTTTATTTTAATTATTATATAGCAATATAATTGCAAAATCTAATGTGAAAATTTGCTTAATGACATATAAGATAAAAAATTCTACTATCGAGCCATTCGCCGTCCGAGAGTTAAGCATTGATAGAAACTGTTCAATAGTGTATCAAATATATTTCAATACCCCATTTGCCAGGTGAGTTTCATCGAAATTGCCTCGTAACCACTTTACGATGCCAGACACCGTAGAAAATATGAACTATTCTATATTGGTTCGGTAACTGCTTCTCCTCCACTGAATGACACATATAATCTCTTATTTTACAATCTTACCAGCTCTTCTACGATTGTTTCCCGATACATTTAGGACAGCCAATGTTCGACTGTTTCCCGATATACAAACTTTACACTTTTCCAAGTGAAAAACGAGCAAACGAGAGACAGGATGAAGGACTAGGTAACCATTATGGCGAAACGTATCCGTCGATACTTCCGACCACTTACAATATCGAGCCGGGAAACGAAACAAACGCAAAGTCGTACCCGGCTCAACTTCCATTTATCAATCTTTCATTTCACGTCTTTGTACATTCGAATGGGGCCAGCTGTTGATAAATCTGTTGATTCTGATAGAAGCAAGGAGCTGGTAATTGAATCTGGAGATTGAGAAATATGCAAATGATTCCGCCCGCTAACAGAAAACTTATTTAAATGAGAATAAAGATTTATGAATGCATCCCTTTCGCACGGATTCTATCTTACCGTTTGTCCCGTTTAATCCCATCGTTATTAAAGGTAACACCCCTCACCTTAGATTGATCTTTGTATACAAAGCGAATGATAAATAAGAAATGAAAATAACAGGAGTAGAGAGATTTAAATAGATTAAAATAAATTGAATGGAACTATAATAGAACAATATAAGTGATAAGGTCTATTTGAACATTTCTACAGCGACGCGCATAATTTTAATTTTCAACCCTCGGACTGTGGCTCGCCGAAATAGCCAGAATTTTAATATAATTTCAGATCATTTTTCAGTTTTATTCTCGACATTTTAGAGTGAAAAATAAATGCTATTTACTTGAATAATACCATCCCTCTAGAATTAAAAGAAAGCATCGCCGTTTTGTTAATTTCCTCAGTGACGATCAAAGAGATCGTAAGACGAAGGGGTTAAGTAGTTCAGACGAAGCACAAAACATCTTGGCGAGTGGAAAAATCACTTTCCACGATATTACCTACGATCACTTTACCTCGATCGTCTGGGCCGTCTATCAAGAACAGACAACTCGACCCGATCGTCCGAGTCGAAGAAGCCGTTTCACTCTTTCCGATCGACGAGCACATTCACCCCACCTCGTGTTTACGATATCGTCGCGAACGATCGCGTTGATATCGCGAGATAATAGTCACGTCGAGGTCTTTCGTCATGCTGCTCCTGCTAAATAGAGAGGCAACCTCGTAAAACTGGCTGAAAGAGGGTGGAATAATTCACCGACGGATTGACGGCGCTGCTCCGCGAGGATCCCTCTTTTGCCGGTGCTCATTAGGGAGGCCAGACTGAACCGAGGAACGTTTCAGCAGGGGTGAAGGGAGGGATATCTGCTCGCCATATTTTACAGCGTTCGGTTATTGTTCCATCCAACTTTTGCCGACTACGATAAATCCTCGCCGGGGTTGCTCTCTCCCCATTGCTTGGGGGAGTCTTTCTTTTTTTCGCCCTGGCGTCGGGTTGGCTCGAGAGAGTGAGAGAGAGAAAGGGAGACTTGTCGAAGCCTACAGGTCGACAAGGGAATGAGAAAGGAGGCAATTCGATGCTCACCTTCACCGTCAAGTTCCCGATGGGGAAAGTCTTGACGACCGGGGTCTCGTTCGGGGCATAGCGATAAAACTCTCGAGTCACTTTGTACCACTTGACGGCGTATAAAGGATCCCCCTCGGTGTCGTACCAGCAGTTCAGTACCGCGGTGCCACCTTTCTTCACGGCCGTCGGTATCTTGACGCGTACCTCTCGCAAGCCGGAGCAAATTCCTGCAACAGATCGTCGATTTTTGTTATTTATCATACTTATGTATCAACGACCATCTAATGATTTAGTACGAATTATTTCGATATGAATTATTCCGTCTTCCGATGAAGAGGAAGCCCCCCAAGTGTCTCCTTTAGATTTCAGTGAGATGCCGATTGATCATATGGTCTAGGGAGTTGATGGTCAAAACATTTTTCATACTTTTGGGACACTTGGGGTGGTTTCCATGTTCATACGTATAAATGCAAATAAAATAGTTTTAATAGTTTCAATTACACTGATAATTAAAAAAAAAGATTACAAAGCCAGATATAAAAATGGATCCTTCATTTATTTTATCCTATGTCTGACTAAATATAAGTATTTCTACTGCGTCTGATTAGATATACATATCTATTGTGTACTACTGTACACTCGCAAGCAAAGCAAGCTTCCCTAAGAAAAATTCTGATATCCCGAGTTAAATTATATCCTAAATCTTATATTTATTAACTAAAAATTATATTATTTTTTTCTATAAATTATGTTTAATATTAATGTTGTATTTACTTCCCCTATATCGCTATTTTCCCTAAGAAGATCTAACTTGATCGCGAGTGTACCTAGCAATGTACGAAGGATTACTAATTTTTTAATTAAAAATTTTGATTTTCCAATTAAACGTACTAGTTTACTAAAATTACTAATTTTCCAATAAAAATTACCAGTATAATTTAGAATCTTTTTACCCTTTTCATTTTCGAAAGAATGACACAGGTATCTTCTTCTTCAATGAAATTCATTACATCGATATTAATCATCGCTAACATTGTTTATCAACATAAAACAGAAGAATAGGGAAAGCTTGCGGCTTTCAGCTTTAGGAACGCATGAAACTGTTAACCGCAAACTTGTCCATATTTATTACAAATCCGGCAGGTGGGATTTACATTTGTTATGAAATAATTCACACGGTATTGTACAGGTGCAACTGGGGCAAATTGTATCGTTGGTTTGAATGGAGGTGAGAAAAATTGCTGGGGATACACGGGCGAATTGTTGGGAACGGGATCTATTTTGTCGCGACCTCGCTGTTTGGTAAATGCAACCGCACGCGATATAATGCGAGCATATCTTTCGACCCTTCTTTATATTTCTTTTTTGTCTGTTTTATTTTTTAAACGCGTAGTGGCGGCGTTCCTCGTTAAATCGCGTTGTAAAGAGTGTTAGGGATAGGTATTCGGAAAGAGTACGGTTCGAGAAATGTTTCGCATTCCGTCGCGAATTAACGAGACGAGTTGAAATTAATGCAGATAGACTTCCCGAGTTTTCTGAAGAGTTTCACGAAAGGGGTAGAGGTAGAAAAAAAAAGTTAGCAGTGTATATATTATTTTGAGGCAAAGATAACGTGATTGGTGGAAGAGATCCATGGAAATAAGATTGATTTTCTTCAATTATAAAGCTCGCTTTTTATGCTAATTTGCGTAACATTTTTATTGCAGCAATGTTTAATAAATTGCGGTAAAAATGTTTCGTTCGTACCAATTCATCGATAATATGAAAATCATTGCAGAGATATTGTCTGGAAAATAGAAAAATAATATTCTAATATTTTATAGATTATTCGTTGTAAAATGCTGTTTTCTTTATTTTATTTTAATTGAATTATATAGATAACGATAAACAATTTGTTTACAAAAGAGATAAAAATTCTGCAAATGATGAGATTTTTATCATTTTTGTAATTTTCAGAATTTTTCCCTCTGGTGTAAATAATTGCACATGCTGTTGTAATCAAAGTAAAATAAAGAGGAATTAGCATGTTTAATTACAAAGAAAATACAACAGAAATGTTGAAATTTTCGTTGGCTACGTGCTTGTAATATTTCTGCACTGCATTCTTCGAGGTGCTTATGTTTCTTTGAATACAATTGAATAAAAATTCCAATGGAAATATTTCACTTTTTGAAAACATGTATCACTCCACTCAATAGAACTTTTTTTCACCCTCAACGTACTAATCCGAAAAAACGTTTGAATTTTTTATTCTATAAATTCCACGATTGTATTCTGAATACCCTCGACTTTTTTCTAGATACCCCTTTTTTCAGTTACCTATATAAACCTATCAAAATGTCAACTTTTTTTCACCAGCAAAATTCCCATTGACATGGTTTGTGTTTCACTGTACATTTATCGATAACTATTTCACAGCAAAATAGAAAAAAGGAGAATGCGCTTTTGGAGTTATATTGTTTAAAAAATTTTCATTAAAATATTTCAGTTACGGACAACTAAAATTTTACCTATACACGGATCTTTTTTTTCGGTAGTATTTGTTCGGTAATTCAAGTTTAATTGATTAGTAACTACATTTTTTGTGCAATTTTTATTGTAATTGATTTGGAAATCAAGTAATATTGCTTTTTGTCACGAAATTCGTCTCTAATATTCTAATATTTTGGTATTCTAGTATTCTAGTAGCCTAATAGCTATTCTAATTCTGCTGCACTCTTCTCTTAATATTCTTACATTGTAGCAACTATTTAACTAATACCCGTTACCGCTAATTTTTAAATATCATTTCATTTACCCAAGATATGTCCATTCCATAATAAAAGCAAAAAGTTACGCGATATTTTCCCGAGGGATAGTCAATAGTCTAAATGAGAATGATCGTTACCAGAGATCACAGAACATCAACAACGATTCCTACTGTGCAATTGCAGAGGAACGTCCGTGTTTGTCATCAATAGCAATCGCAAAAGGGTTGGAGGTTTCTCAATAGACCTGTCTGAAACAGATCCACTACTTTGGATTCAGTTCAGGGCACAACAAGCAAACGGCGCATAAACTGGGCGAAATGAATCTGACTAGAGGTAAATGGGACCTAATATTCTGCTGGTCGTGCAGATACAATCTCTTGAACGATATTTAAATCCACAACTGGGTAAAAAGGGCGAGACCAAGAATTATTGCGTGATCAGACTTTCTACGATGTGGTCGTTGTTAATCGAGTTCTCGCGTTCAACGAAATCCCTTCGACGATTAAACGCATTTTTCACGGTTGTTGCTATTTCGTTTGCTTTTAAATCCACTGACGACAATTTTCTTCTCTCCCCCCCTCCCTCCATCCGTCGAATAAACGATTGAAATGTATTTACAGAGTTTTGCAGTTTACAGAAAATTTATATCGAAAGTTGAAACTTTGCTCCCGTTTCACCGTTCACGCTGTTAATTTTCTCGTGTTACCGACAATTTTCTGTTTTTCTTTCCCTGATTGTTTTATTACTTCGGACATCGATTGGTCGATCGAAACACGCTGCAAGGAATTTTGTGTTCCACCTCGAAAGTTAAAATTGCTTTTTATCCTTGGCGATTGCGTTGCTATTAGTTTCTTATTGTCCAATGTAATACCCACATTTGTTCAACTCTCATTTCTTATCATTATTTAATACTTCGCGGACAAAGTTATTAAAATTGTGAATACTCTTGTGAGGTGTGTGAAGCAGTTTGGTTTTAGTCAGAAGGAAAAATGACGGTAACAATAACGGAACGATCTGAACAAGGGTGCCTGCATTTCTCACGAAGTCATTTAACATTAATTCTCAATGAACGAAAGTGCGTTCCAATTGTACTTGGCTACGTATGCCAGGCTTCTCTGTAATATTTCAAGAACCAATCTTATCAAGAGCAGAACAGAAATTATTCTCCATGTAAAAATATTGAAATCTGATTTAGGTGTGATTAATCACTTAAAAATTTTTATTATTTTTAACACGTTCCCTGCCATGCAGTTGAAATATAATGTGGCACGTGTTAATAAAATTTGGTATTTTAAAAGGAAAAATAGCATACCGAATTTATGTCCTTATTTTTGAAGGTGACAGAAAATTATTCTTCGTTTATAATAATATAATTATAATTTCGCGCATATTGTTCTGCCAGCGACGAAACAAATATCCATCATGCTTCGTCTCACTAGGCGAAGCGCGATCCTGTCAAAGGGGTTGCACGATTAGATCCAATCAGTGATGGCTGCCCCACAGGTGTCCGAGTGGCCCAATTCCGTACATAAAAGAAGGTAATTTCAACGTTGGGAAGCTTTAGCTGATCGGCCAACAACGCTTCCAATTTCAGCGTCGAATCGAGAAAATCAAAAGGGAACGGAAAAGGGTGCAAGGAATGGAAAATAGTAACGGGAGGAAAGTTGAGAGGGTGGGATCGAAAGGGTTGAGCATCGAAATCGAGGCAGGGGCCTCGGGAAATTAGGTTGTTAAGATTTAATCGGACACAGAGGCATTTTAAACGTCATACGACGGGAGGGGGTCAGGTTACGAAGGGGGGGTCGCGAGACGATTTAAATTGCACCAACTTCCTTCAGCCGCGATCCAAGTCGCCGCGGCACGTTGTCCCAGCTAGATAACAGAGATCGTTAAGATTTCTGCCGGATTCCGTTCGCTGGAATTTCATTTGCCAACCCCGTCTTGACTCGTTCTGCCTTTTGCTCAGCCCTCGTAATTTCATCGTCGATACGATTGGCAGCGAATGTTTAAGAATATCCCCTCGACTAGTTTCCGACGATTCCTGCACCTTCGCGAGACGTCAGCTCAACGTGTAAACTTATTACCTCTATTGATTTTTTGGAAAACTCTTGTAGGTTGGACATAAAGATAGAATTTGAAAGATCAACAGAATGATTGAAATTGATTTAGAGGAATGATAGGGGTTGAGGATGTCTGAACAGAATTTTAGTGAACTTGGTATAGAAAGTATAATAATCTTCTGTCCAACGTTTTCTTTATAATAATTTTTCTTTTGAATTGCACCAAATAAGATATTCGAATAAAAATATGCAAATATAACACAGAGCGGTGCGCACAAGTATTGCAAGTCACTCTTTTCCCGGTGCAATTAGAAAAAAATGTTGCAAAAAGATGGTGAATATTTCAAAGAATTTGTAAGATTGTATATTTTCCGCCAGTGCGACACAAGGTTGAAAATATTTTTTAAAATGCAGAGTATATGAATTATGCAAAATATGCAAAATAAAAGCTACATATTTAATACAATTTTATGGCGCTCGTGTGAATTTCAAGTGTGTTGAAATTTTGGAAAAACACGCTATTCGCGTTCTAAATTCAGTTAGATCTTATTTAGATGTTATCAAAGCCGAAAGCCACGAACGCTTTGTTCGAAAACTAAATCCAATTTCTCAAGATGCTAACTCACCCCGAACAACGGCATTGCCAGCGAGCCCATTTTCCTAAGTAACTCTACTATTCAGAATCAGAGAAAATTCACAACTACCCGGTTGCAGTAGCTGACGAAACAACCCTTCTCCCGTCAACCAAACACTGTCGAACGCCTTTCTGGTAGAAAACGACTAAGCATAAGGCGACGGAGAATTAAGATTTCTGGCAGACTCTTGGAATTTCATTTGCGACCCCGTGCCTCACCTTTGCCCGTCCGCTCGTAATTTAATCGCCGATGCAATTGGCAGCGGGTGTGCCAGCGCGTTTAAGAAAATCCTGGCGAATTCATTAGCGGACGACTATTAAAACGCCCAAGCAATCTACAAGGGAAGGCTGATATTTAACCCTTGCATACGGAACACCGGCTCATTTCCAACTGTTCACGATTGTTGATGTATCGATCAAATGACACGTTTCATTGGCAATCATTTTAAATCATATTTCCGCATATTTCTTATAATTGACAAATAAGAAATTTTTAAATAATGGTAACAATTTAAGAAATAATGGTAAGAAATTAAAAAATAATTACAATAAAATTGAAAATCCCAGTGTCCTATGATTAAATACTTTCAAAATCATTTTAAAACTACAGAAGGAAACCTTTTGTACATTTTTAAACATCGTCGAAGAAAATATTTAAAGAACGATAACGCAGGCAGAACTGAAAATGTCTCGGCATTTCTGGTGCATTCAGTGTCCCCGGGGTTAAATGGTTTCGTCCGCGCTCGAAAACGAAAAGGGAGACGAAAGTATCCCCCGAGAATGCAAGAAGGTACTCGATTGTCCGTGGATGACAAACAACCAGGCAAATTAGCCAGATCGAGAATCGTGCGGGGATTACAGTGTTGAGAACGAGACGACACGGTAGTCGCGATAAATCTGCTTGTTTTGTTTAGGGCGAACAACAACAGCAACAGCAGGAAGCATGGATTCAGAAGTAATTAAACGCCCCAGCACCCTTGTCGTCTCTTTTCTCTTTCTCTCTCTCTTTCTATCTCTCTGTTTCCCTCCGTTGGCGGAGATTCTTTCGTTCTGCGGTCGGGGGACAACATTTTCTCGGGCCAGCGCAGCGGAGGGTAGTACCGGGCGCGAAGAATTGCCGGTTGCGTAAGAAACGGCGAGCCCGTGAATAAATCGGGTCGCTTGCTCCAGAGAATTACTCCATATCCCGTATAAAGGGACGATCCGCATTTCAAGTGGCGACCCATTGAAACGGGGGTCTGCTGCCAGCACGACAGAACGTCGCGGCCGTGCCGCATGAAAAATGACAATCGTAACACACCGGCTCTTCGTTGGAAGGCAGAAGAAGTAAAGAAAGAAGGGAAAAAAAAAAAAGGAAACAGAGAAATATCAACGACCACGATACGAACGAGGGAGGGAAAGGAAAGAAAAGGGTAGAAACGTTAACCGGAAGTGGGGAACGCAAGAAGAGAAAAGAAAGCCACGAGAGAGAAAAACGCAGGCGACGAAGTTGCGACACGCTCCAGCGGGACGACTTGCATTTTTCATGCGGTCGTGTAAGTGCACGTGTATCGGGGGATAGGATTTAAAAGAATGAAGAAAAAAACAAAACGAGAAAAATGGAAAAAATAATAATAAAATGTTGCCCCCGGAGAAAGTATAGGAAACGGAGACGACAGGGACTGCAGGATGGAAACAGAAAAAAAACAGAGGTAAGGAAAACAATCTCGCTGTGGTGTAACGAACGATCGAGAGAATAGTTGGGATAGAAGAATAAAAAAAGGGTGATCGGGAGAAATGGAAAAAAGAAAGAGAATGGAGGAAAACGGAAAAAGAGGAAGGAAAGAGCGTTCGATGCTGGTGAAATCGCTACAATGGAATCGACAGCTCGACACTGCGCGATCGTATTTCACGTTCGCGATCGACGAAAAGGGTTGCTCGTGAGTTACTCGATGTACACGGGGTGCAACCTAGTACGTGGAACCCACTTGAGTGATGGATTCACCACTTGGAAGCGATAAAAAATAAGGCTTATATAAAGACGTGCCTGACTCGATCTTGTTTTCCAACTACGAGTATTGTATTTCTAAGATTCGGGGTACGAAATGAATAAGAAAATTGTTTATGCGAAAATTGCAAGCTTTTTCTAATGTGTTATATGAAACTCATTTTCTGGTAACTGATTTCTAATTTTTTGTTTTAAATTCTAGAATTTATTCATTTTTTTAAACACAGATATGTACCGGTTTATATTTCATTTCTTTTAATTTTCAATGAAAATTTAACATTTACTTTTCATATTCAGCCGAAATGAAAATTTAATTGTAAATGAAAGCTGTTGTAAGAAAAACTTCGACAAGTAGATAAAAATAGTCACATGAAATACTAAACCTCAAAGTGACATCAGCTGTCGAACTGTTAATAAACTTCATTAGTACGTTCGAATACTTAATTATTGATCCAGTTATTGAAACCGTCTTATCTACAAATTGAGGGAAACAGAGTTCTACTGTATTTATGAATGAATCCACCCCTAAGGTGTCTGCTACACATTACATTATACCCAGCAGATGAGTTTCATCGTTGGTGCGAACTCGTAAAACCGGAATAGATTCGATTAGGCAGGCCGGCTGATACGGTTTTTCCGCGTTGAGTTTCCTTCGTTGGCGGCCGGAGCCGAGGCGAGAAGCGGAAAGGAAAAAACGAAGAAAAATTCGATGAAGTGGCAATGAAATAAGCCAAGGGGAACAGCGCGAGCGAGAGGGGGATTGGCGGTGAAACAGGGCCAAAACGGGGCCACGATTTGTTGTAGCGAGCGAAGTGGAGCGAGGAAGTCCTGGCCTGGAACCTGGTGCTCGTTCGAGCAGCGTTAACGCAATTATCCATTGACACAATTATTCGTCAAATTCATTAAATTTCCATTATGGGTAACGCTTGTCCGCGTTTTACGAACCGCGGTAGGAGCAGTGACCCCTCGGTGCCAGCGTCTCGTCTAGCGAATCAACCCCTAGCGAGTTCAATGCTCCGATGGATAAGAATCCTCTCGATTCAGCTAGTTGTATCTTCGTCCCTCTGTTTATCCATCCACCGTCTCTCCCTTATTTCCTGAACCATCCTTCTCGATTTCCACTTTTTTTTTTTCTTTCCTCTTCCTCTATGTTTTTACGTTCGTGGGTAAAAGCGCGAAGCAATTTTTTCCTCGTCGCTCGATATCGTTGTTTGTCGACAGGATATTCGTTCGCAAACGTGCTCGCCAATCGAGCTGTTCAATTCGTATCGCCGAATAAATAGTTGCTAGGACAAATATTTTAACCGCTCGTTGACGATTCAGCTGCCGTATCGTGGAAAACGATCTCGACATCTGACTTTTCACGGTTCACCATTCTCTTTCCCTTTTCCACGCAGATCCCTCAATCCGCGTGTTTTTTACACACGTACCTACGTGTACGTTCACTTTTTTTTTCGTTCCTCCATTTTTTTTTTTTGCTCCTTTATCGCCTGTTTCAACCCCCGATTTTTTTTTTTTTTCATTTATTTTTTAGCTTTCCTCCCCCTAAACAAAGAGTCGGTCGATACACACCGGTCGCGGCACGTGAAGCGAGGCGAAATTACAAAATTTCACGGAAACGTTGAACATTTTTTTTTCTCCCTCTCTTTCCCTTTCGTTTCGTGCGTTCATTTTTAATCGAAGCCAGCTCGCAAAGAGAACAGAGCCGAGAGAGAGAAAAAAATAGAGAGTCAGATTTTAAACCGTCTGTATCATTGAAATTTCCATGCACGTTCACCCCCGACAATCGTGCACCCCGGTGCCGAAAGTTCCCGTCGTTTGAACGGTGCCTCGTCATGACTCCTAATACGAGGAAGGATAAAAAATGCAAACCGTCGCAGCAACGATCTTCCGCGCACTCTGAATGAAGAGTTGAAGAGCTGGAGGGGAAAAAAACAGTCCTGACGACGCGACTCGTGCACAGTGGAAATTAACCCGTGTTTCAATCCCCTCAAAGAGACGGCCGCACGCTTTTCACTAAACAACCCCCGTCGCTGTTGCGCGAAATCGTACTTAAAATTCATGCCTCTGATCTCGTCCGTGTACCGTGGATCCTTCTGTCCTCGAGTTCGCTTCAATCTCGCGCTATTAAAGAACAAGCATCGAGCGAAAAGAAAAGGACAAAAAGAAACCCGGTGTACGGGGGGTTCCGCGAACAGATCAACTTCCTCTGTTATGCTGGAAGGAAACTCGAAACACCAAAATTCAAAAAAAAGAAAAAAAGAAATCAGATTTCGTAGACCACGAGGTGGCTAATCGGTAGAGGACACGTCGCGTCGGGCCAACGTCCCGGCGAGGAAGCCCGATCCGATGGGTCATGCGGTCGTACTCGGGTTAAAAAGATCAAGGAAGAAAAGAAAAACACAGTTGTGTTTACTCACCCACTACGTGAACGAGCAGAAGGATTTTCAGTTCCATCGATGATCCTGTCGCGTCGTGTACACGCGTTCCTTATTGTTTCTGCGTTCGAATGTCCTTCGGTACGTGGTGCGACGGCTGTGTGTGGTCGTAACGCGGCCGACGCGACGCGTCTCTTCGCATGTCGCCCTTCCAGTTCGGCTCGTCTCCCCTTCAGTAGCCCTGCTGCGTGTCCACGTCGACGCTGCTGCCCGACGACATCCCCCTTACATAATAGCAAACGAGGACGGTCGCTCGTCCGACGACGGTGTGTGCCTTCGGTCAGCGTCAACGCGAGATGTACCTCTGACCCCGGTGCGGTGTGTACGCGGTCTGCGGTGCCGGGTTCTCTTCTGTTCGCTACTCCCTCCTCCTACACCCTCACTCGGTAGGGTTGACGCTCCGCGCAGAATCAATTTCCTTGCAAAACGACGTCGAGGAGCGGCGCGAGTACGATTGCGCGCGCAACCCGTACCAAACTCGAGGATCCTCTCTATGACCGGCCGGCCAGCGTTCTATCCTCTGTCCCGTAGCCGTCTTTCAGGATCGTTCGCGTGTGCCGGTAAGCCGGAGACTGTGTCGGTGAAAATCTGGCCCACCGATAGATTCCGAGCAACCCCGAGCCGATAGGCCAACCACCGTCACCCACCCACGCCAACGTCACCCATGTCTCTCTACGGCTGGCTGTGTATTCACACAGGACGAACGCAGCCAGCTCTTGTAACGTGGAACACGCTAAACTCGTAACCAGCCAGCCCTGAGCTTCGTTCTTCGCGACACGGACGCATCCTTGCCCTTTGTGCGAAACCCTATTGTTCTCTTCAGCTACTACGGGCCATCGATACCGGCAATTCCTTTTGCGAATGCCGCGATACAGATATATGTACAGAGGATAAAAGAGAGAGATTGGGTGGATAGAGATGCTAGCAAGTTCGATATACCTATACCGGCGAATCTCAGTCAATTCCGATGCGAAAGTTTCATTTTGTGGGATTCGAACGGTAGTTGAAGGGGATGATGTTTCGTTTGATGTATTTTCAAAGTATTTGTATCGCAAGTATCTCGAATCCTAAAATAAGTACCTGCGATTAGAGAATTGTACAGTATCGAAACTTACAGTAGACTTACTTGTTTAATTATTATAAATTATGTTATTTTCTTCTAAATCACTTTTAATATTAATATCGTCAAAATTAAGATTTTTAGAATTCTAGTATACTATAGCTATTTGTTATGATTGCCTAAATATTTTTCTTGAACGCAAAAATAGTTATAACTCAGAAGTGAATCGAAATAAAAATAAACATTTTTACAAACAATTTGTATTATTTGCTGTGCTGAATAACCATATATTGTTATACTTACTGTACAATAACAAGGATGTCTGTGAAGGATACTTCCTGTCCAAGCAATGATTCTAACTGGAAGTCACTCGAAGACACGGTCCATTCTATTGATTGGCACCAGTCGAGTGGCTTGTTCTCCAAGAAAGTCTTTGTGTGGATTTTTAATGAAATTTTCTTTACGTAACACCTGTTGGTTGGACTTCGAGTACATAGGTAAGTAAATAAAGGTGAGCTTGTCGTTCCAGGCTATTCCAACGCTTTCGTTTCACCGACGAATTGCGTTAATTTGTTACCGTGTCGCTCACTTACGATTTCCGTTAATTAGAGAACTACGCGAAACGTTCAACACAAATTGGAATTGAAGTTACGCGCGGACGGGAAAATTTTATACATATATTACTTGAGAAACGATTGTGCGGATAGTCGGTGGTTTACGGAACATTCAACAACAAAATTATGTTTCGAAAACAGTATGGGAGTAGAATTGGAGCCGCAAGATTTTATTAATTATCGATTAAACGAATTTTGGTAACTACCTTTAATGTAATATTTCCAGAACGAGTTTGTTTGTACGCAATCACTTTACCTTGTTATCCTCGTTCCCAATATTCTTGATTATTATTTTTCTTTTTTCTTTTAATGTGGATATTTCTGTGACATTTATCATTTCTGAATGAATGGTAAAATATTTACCTATTCGATGCGTTCTATGATAAATTTGTATAATTAATTAATTACTTGATTTTGTAATTTCTTTTTAAATCATTGACTCATATCACTTTTTTTGTGGAGGGTGCAATATATGTTTCAGAAGTTTTCTAAAAATAAAAATGAAATATTTCAAAGATCATGGTAAGTTGAAAAAATCTTCCACATACATATGTAAGAATGCTGCTATCCATCGTAACTCAGTTCCTGGTTCTGTCCCGTTTCCTTTTTGAATATGGACAGAAAAGAAAAGGTCTTGCACGGTATAATTTTTTTCCATATATTATAACGAATCTGAATGTGGTAATTACATGGTCCAAATACAATGCAAAAGTTGCAAAAATGTTTGCAAACAGTTATGTTTGTAATTACCTGCTAACGTTTACTATGTTATTTTTGAAACAGGGTAGAAATTAATTACATACATTTAGTTCTTTAACTTCCATCCTATTGTCTCCAGGTAGTCATAGAATAATAAAGTGTATTTATATAAAAATTTCCAGAAGTTTAATCTAATTTTTTAACTCGTTTTCAAAATTTCATGCATAATATTTTTCTCATAAATAAAAATCTTTAGTTGAGAAATTTGAATACCTAATTTTAATCGATGGATCAGTTGTCATGATTGACCCAGTTATTACCGTTTAAGAGTTAATTTTGGATTTCCATTCGTACAATCGCGATCCGGCTTTTCTAGAAAAAATAGACATGTCCCGGGTCTCTACCCTTCCCCATAGGCTTCCGCGGGGTAAATGACAGTACACTGATCCATGGTTCCCCACCATGAGGATATAATTTTCAATTATATAACTACTAAATTTGATAGTATTTAATAACTGAAAATTATGTTATTTTCCCCCTTAATTACTTTTAATATTGATATCCTCAAAATGGAAATTTTTAGAATTCCTGTATCTCCTATATCCCCATTTTCCTTACGGAAGATTGGTTTGATCGCGGATGCATCGTAGAACTTCCTTTCATAAATAACTAAAAAAAAATCCTCCAAAGTTTTAAATAATTTTCCTCCCAAACCACACACGATCTCGTTGAAAGGTCCTCCAGAAAAGAAGTAGGGGGTGGTAGAGTGAAAGATTAAAAGGGTAAAATCCATGCGGCAGCACAGCCCAAACAATATTACACGCGAAGCATCCAATTTCCTGCTAATACGAGGGCAGAAAGTACAGGAGATGGATTTCAACGATCTCGCTTTTTGCCAGTGCAATTTTTCAGAATAATCTGTCGGAAAATTTGCCGCCCTCTGCAAGGTACGTGACTTACGCGTGACAGTGCTTCGTCACACTTACCTTCTTGCAGATTGCACATTTTTCAATAACGTCCTCTCAGAATGATGGATAGGATAAGCAGCCACCACCGTAATGTGGTCTCCTAAGTTGCTCTCTCATGACTCCAGTCTCTTACATTTTTATTTAATATCTCTCACCCATCACTATCCTTTATGAACATCAACCATACAGCTAGATATTTATGCATCCGTTTCATACTATTTTGCATAATCACCAAATTTCTCATAAGAAAATAATTATCAATCTAACGCTCATCGAGTGATCGATTCAGAACAATAAATGCTAAAAATGACAGAAGGCAAATTGTTAAATTCTGCACAATAGCTTTCGAAAAATATTTACAAAAGGTACATGTGTTCAATTGTGATGCGTGTTAAAAGGGCTGACCGTCTACTTTAATTTGAAGCAACTTGAAAATTGTGGCTGGTTTGTTTTGCTCGTTTATAAATGTTGTCGAGATGTTAAATTGGTCGAGATTGAAATTTCGACGACGAGTTTCGCGTGAATGTGGACATTTTCGAGTATGTAATTGAATTTCAAGTGGACAAATTGTTAGATCGTTATGTAGACAGGTTTTGTTTGCGAAAAGCAGTAGCCTGCTTGTGTTTCGATACGGTCGGAAGCATTGCACGATTTAACGTGGTAAAAAACACCGGAAACCGAGGGCAGGAAAAATGGTAAGCGTCAAGTGTGCCCTGTTTTGCTTGGAAATAACACACGGAAACCAGAGTACCGGCGAACGGTTCGAGGTGGAAAAAAATATTAAGCCCTGGATAAGAAAGTCTAATCCATTCGCCATATTTTTGGGAGAGATGAAAGGTCTTAAGAGCAGAAAACGTTGAAACAGTCGTAATGCAGTTTTCACGTTCTAACGGGGAGTATTTTTATTTCCTCGTAAAACCATCTTCATGAAAAATATTGATTTTCATGCCGATTACCATAACTCATTGTTTGAAGTAATAATGTCCGGGTACCTGCCCATTGATTACTTGAAAATCAATTCTTTTATTAATGAACCATTCAAAATGTTCAAATCCCTTTAATCAGTCCACGAACTGGAAAGTAAAAGAATCAATTAAATTTCTCAATCCATTGTGTCTTATATCTTTAACCACGATCAGGACCATAAAAATGCAAAGATATAGAACGTGAAATAAACTTCATTTAGAAGGTATTACAGGCTAAAACTATTCAAAGGCATCACGCAAGTAAATTGGGAAGTTTCTTAATTAAAAAGATGAACCTTTAACAAAACAATGGTGAAGACCCTTACCATGTTTTTAACCCCCGGATAGCGGACCATGGAGAGATCCCGGTTTCAATTTAATTTTATATTTCACATTATTCGCATTTTCCAAATTTCACTTTTTACTTTCTTTTTTAAACTACATTTTCGTGTGTAAATACAATAAAGTATTACACACAGAAGGGGATATACGATACGTACGTATACTAAACTGAAATTGACCCTGCATTCAGTTTGCGAGGGTTAATAAAGATCCTCCTCAGGGACTGACGCAAATCCTGAAGAGGCTCAGGAATAACGTAGGTACTTTCTCTCCTTTACCTCGTCGTCTTACGCAACAGGGTGCTTTAATTCGAAAACTATAGACCCTTCGGGCGAGATACTGCCGTTTCCTTCGTGCTCCCGTGGTTTCGATCGAGAAAGGTGAAATTATTTTCACGGAATCACCTTAAGGCTCCTCCAGCGGAGCTTTTATCTCCTCCATCTTTCCCCGGCAACCGTCGGTTTCTTGCATTACACGTGTTTATCAGCCAGCACGAATACTGCTGGCCGTTCCACGGAAACCAATACCGTGGAAACTGTTCGCGTGCATACGCAGCCCGAATCTGTCCTACCGATGGATACCACCCTCGCTAACCCTGCCTTGCAACCCTCTAACGTTCCCTGGACTACGACCACCCCTATGGACGAAACGATAGCACCCCATGCACAGTTGTGTCACGCGAAATTTTCCCTTCTTTCACCCCTTATCTTTCACTTCCTCTTGCAACGACGCGACGTCGTACAATGAGAGACCTAACGACCTTACGATACGGTCGAAATTGCGTAACTTTGTTTCTATTTTAAATATTGATTTATTCTTATACAGTTTCGCTTGTTCAACTTGCAAAATTTTAAAGAAACACCACTTTATTCCATAAATTTAATAGCACTAATATTTTTTCTATTTGGAAAATTATAAAAAATCATCTTTGATTGCTGTTAGTTTGTTTTACCTTGTAGTATTTCAAAGTCTTTTCTCTTCAGTTGTGTTTTTCGCATTTTTAGAAAGCGATGCAATAAATTTCGAATGTACGAGCGCGTTTATGACAAAACGTAGCGTTCCTGTCGTTAACCCTCGTCGGTTCGACGAATTTCTTTCGTTTTCTTTCCGAGAGACACGCGGACCGGAAACCGAGTGGAAAAATAGAAGGAAAGCTAGCGGTGTTACGGTGTCGTTCCCGGTTCCTTCAATTTGCTCGAAGAGCTTCAACGTTTCTTAGAAGCTGCGTCAGGGGTTCCTGTCTCTCTTGGTTAAATGATAATTGGGAGAGAACGGTTTTTACGAGGCTAAGGGGTTCGATTGGAATTTTTATTTTTATTTTTCACGATATCTTTGATGTTCTCTCCTGATACTCGTATAATTTGGGGAAATTGCCAGCCACCGAGGGTGAAATGTTTAACTTTAACACTTTATCTACCATGACCTTACAACTTATCAGTAAACTGTGAATATTTGACCATTTATTATTTCATTAACCGATCAAAATTAAAATCCATGTTATTAAGAGCTTTCCTAGTTGTAGTAAAAAATTGTAAAATTCCAATTAGATATCTTGTAATCACTTGATTTTTCAAAATCTATTTCTAGTTTGAATTATTACATTTTTAAGTGATAATTTTAATAATAAACGAACATATTAATGAACATTTCCGAATAGAGTCTTCGCTTTAATATTTTCCAAAGTCTCCACTTTAGAAAGCTCTATTTCCATAACATTTCCATTGGATACGCTTCCTCAAATTTCAATGCAATTTACAATATTTCCGCATTATCCTGTCAGATTCTTGAGACTTTACTGTTTATAGGATTAGAAAGTCCACGGTGGAACGCCTAGTTCTCTTATTTATCATATCTTCGTTCCGCTGAATTTTCAGTTACTCGAAAAAGCGCAGGATTTGCAACTTTTCTGTATTTTCGGAAACTTTGATTCTTTTAACAAGGTGGGAGAACAGCGGAGTTCGCGGTGATTGTCGATTTTCTCGCGATTCAGACAATTTTCACGCTTTTCCACGACGCGTATATGGGGGCAATGTTAAAAAGCACGAGGACAAAGTAATGGTTCTAGAAGGGCGCAAGCGTTTGCGGTAGAACGCGGAGTTCCCTTCTCGGCTATATTTTATGTTTCCAAAAGACTGCATCGGTTACGCTACGACACGGTGGACGTTCAAGAATTTATCCTCGCGAAGATAGGGTGGTAAAACTTGGTTCTACGTGAACTAAATAGAAATAATGGCGTTCGTTACGGAACGTAGAGTTCTTTTCTCGCCGCCATCTTATACGATATTTTACGTTTCTGAAAGGCTATCGTGAATTGTTACCACGTGTTGCATTTGTTTCGTACAAAATAGCATCGTAAAATTCGCATTTGGTGACATTGAACGCTGACGTTCTTCAATGGAACGTGGAGTTCCTTTACACCCCGTAGTATATGATATTAGTATCGTAATTAAATATTATATATTGTATTAGCTTTCTTGGAAATATAATCAAAAATTAATTCTGGTAACGAATTAATGTCAACGTTCCACGATGGAACGTAGAGTTCTTTATTTTAAATTGCTTAAATATTCGTGAAGCGTTATACGTTAAAGACGTGGCATTAAAACCGGCACGATACGAATGCAAGTTTCTTGAAAATACGACGAATGCTCGGTTCTTCTGTGAAACGAACGTTGATGTGCGCATTAAAACGCGAACTTCTTTGATCGTAATAATTTTATTGCGGAACATTTTCCATAATTCCACGGAATTTAGTCGGGTTTTTACGCGATGAGATCGCAATCTTTGCCAATGGTGGTATAGTAGAATCCACTTCTCACACGGAATGAAATCGGACGTTTATGGCTGAACACAAAGTTTCTTGCTTGTATTTTCGTTCATAAGGATTTTCAATACTTCCTAGAAGCTGCATCAGTTTTGTTAAGAGTATTAGCTTGAATGCCGGATGAACAGTTCCCACAGAAAATCATCTTACAAAGCAAAACTTATAGTAAAACATGAAATACCCTATTCACAATATTTTCACGGAAATTACATTTTGCACGCAATATAAATTATGATATTTATCAACAAAACAGAGTTTTTGTTTCACGATATTTTCACTCTTACATTTGAAATGGCAAATCGAAAAATTTTACCGAAAATTTATATGATCAGAACTCGTGTTGTGTACAAAATAAAGTTCGACATCCATCAAGTAACTCTAAGCTGTACGTTCTCACAGTTCTTCGCTCGTGTATCTTTGATATCCCGAAAAAATTGTGTCAAAGTCGTCGCGATAGCAGGTTTGTCGAACGTGTAACGATGAAACTCGTTTGTCACGCGAAATGAACTCTGACGTTTATGGTGGAACGCGGTGTTCCTTCTGCGCGAGGTTGTCGCCGATGGCTTCGCCATGTCTCGAGGAATTTTCTCCGTTCTCAAGGAACTGTACTGGGATTTCCACGACGTCTGCGAGTCCCGTTAAGGAGGCAACAACAACAACAACAACAACAACAAAACTCGTTTCGGACGCGGAACGAAACCACTGACGTGTTGATGGCGGAACGTGGAACGAGCCTCGGCGTGGCTCGAATGAGATTTCACGGAATTGTCACAGATACGTGCGACTGCGTTTGTTTACCACTGTTCTAGCCGCACAGGAATCACACACGAAACAGGCCTTCGATTGAACACCGCGTTCGCAACCCTTCTCGTGAACGTTCTATGTGTGATATCACGTGAAATCAAACTGTCACCCTATTCGAGGCAATTTTATGGAAAGAAATATTGATTTATTTAGCAACCCTTTCTGTGCTAAATACTTTTGATGAGAAGACTGATCAAATTGCCACTCTATTTTAGGCAATTTTATGAAAAGAAATATTTATTTATTTAATAATCCTTTGGGTACTAAATACTTTTGATGAGGAGGCTGACCAAATATGAAATACTCTACTGTCTTTGGCAAGATACAATTTTCAAAATTTCATGCCTACGTGAAAATATGTTAATTTTTATATTTGCAACAAACGAATAATATGTTTCTAAAATACCGTCATTGTATTTCGATATCTGGTTAATAACTAGTTCTAGGAATAAGTGTTTAGAAGTAGTTCCATGAACAAGCGTTCGTCTGTTTTTCTATATTTTCAGAGAAGAAAATTTTCGCGAAACTAGCAGGCAAAAAGGAGGAAAAAGTACTTGCATGCCTGCAAACTGTCAGAACAGATCGGAATATTGAACGTGTCTGAGAATTCAAGGCAGAGGAAGCACAAGGTTGGTTAAGAAAGCCCGGTATTCCCTTCAAAACTTCAGTCCACGTTTCCTTCACTGAATAATGAGTGGACTTACGGTTTCATTCATACAAAATTTTAATTGCACAGAAACTGCTGCTCGTCGATATTCTTGCTTGCTCATCATTCTTCGTGGACGCTTTATTGCATTCTTGATAAAAAGAGAACAAAGAAATTCCTTTAGAAAACACGGTTTTATTATTCGCCTTGGCTATACGTGATTATTGTAGATTATTTTCTAAATAAGATTATTCTGAATAAATATTTCAAGCTAACGATGAACAAATAAAAATGTTTGAAAATGCAAAGAATTTTAATGTAAAGAAATATGTATATAGTATATAATATTGAATAAATAGAAGAAGATCTAATGCGTACAAGTATATTAAACATTTACCCTAAATTTTCTCTCCGCTCTTCCGGATAAAATACTCTTTCCAAACTTTTCACCGAAGACACCCTTTTTCCAGCTTTCCCTCTATCCTTCTTTTCCTCTAAAATTCCACCTTACTCCAAACCGTTTGCTCTTAAGTACCTTTGTTACCTTTTACACACACACGTGAATCCATTTTTACCTACATACACACGGACACATACTTGAAATCTTCAATTTTGAAAATTTCCTACATCTCACCTTTCTACTCTCATCGAAAACCCCTTTTACCTTTACGTCCTTTAAAGTTGAAAGTAACAATGAACTTATTATATGACCAGCTCTCATTCAATATGAAAATGAAAAAAAGATGTTCGTAAATTTTTTAATTTATTTTTGTGAATTTTATAATACTTCGTCCGATGATCCCAATAAAAATACTTTCAATTAGTAGGTAACGTCATGAACGCCGCAGTGGAAATGGACTTTTGCACTCAGACATGTTGAAACTCTAATTATTAACACGTTGAATATTGCAGTGAAAACGGACGTGTGCAGTACGGCACAGTGTAATTGCAATTATTCCAAATTTCATTGTTTCGTTTTTCAGTTTAAGGGCTTCACTTGTTAGCTCCGGAATTTAATACAATATTAACACCCCTATTTTCGTTTCTTAATTATTTGATGAAACCCTTTCAGTGTACTAATTGAGCAATTTAATGCGATTAATAATTGGTGAAACTCGAAAATTTGGATATTTGAACCTCGGGTCAGATCGGGCAGAAGCCGAAAAAAATTTCGGACCCAAATTTTCGGGTACCCGCACATTCCTAATTAATAATGATAAATTCTTTCAACAGGTGCACCTTTAAAAAGCACCATTTGGTGATAAGACCACCAACTGTAAAAGGTGTAAAATCATTTACAATCTTTTTGCACCTTATAGTCCGGATCCTTTGCGATAAGGCTTCTTTTTGTTTAGTCCTTTCAAAGAGTCTTTACGCGCCGTCAAGTTACACAGCAACAAAGAGGTGAAAACAAATGTCTAAAACTAGCTCAGACTTCAAAGAAGAACTTCTTTGCTAGTGGCACAAGCAAACTACGTAGTAGAACAGTAGGGAATGGGTGTAATTCTAACACGGGGATTATACCGAAAAATAGATAAATTGTTATTTGTCTCGTTATCCATTATTTTTAGTGGATGCCGCAATATAACAAGTGTAAAATAATTTGCAACTACAAATTATTTTTCTTTTTTTAAGTTATTCAGTAAAATCACTGCATGGAATTATTTTATTTTTTAATTTAAGCTTTCCATATCCTTTCCATATACCTTGCCTTTCTATTATAATATTAATACGATAAAATGTTATTTTTTTAAATATTTTTTCCTCCGAGTATCTGATTTTTGCAGATTCGTGGCGCCAGTCAGAAATGAGCCGAATGGCAGCGAACGGGTTAAAGGAAGCAGCGTCGCGTCCTCTTTAATTACATTAGAAGCCACGTTTTTTGCCAGACGCGTTTTGCACGAAGGATGCTCCTGCACCCGTGAAAATAAAAAAATAACAATCATCGTTCCGGGTAGAGAGCATAACTGGCCCCGATTCGGATCGCCGTTGTTTTGATTAAGCGAAACTTTCGAGTTTTTCCTGCTTCCAAGTCAGTCCGATGCGAAACTTCCGCGACTGGTTGGCTGTTACTCTTATCCTTTCCATCTCTTCCCCTTTTTTTTTTTTACCTCGCTACTAGTTTTTCCATTATCCGACTTTATCTGCCGGCCTGTTCTTCCTTAACGAAAAGCAGAGCTTCTTTGGAAGAAGAAGGGTGCGCGATGATTGTTATGAATCTAAAGATAATAAAAATTGACTTGTATCGCCCTATGAATCTATTCTAGATAACATTTGCTCCTCTTAACTCTTTCAATTTTAAAA